GCCCAGTGACTTGGAGAAGAAGAGTCAGTTTCGCAGAAATCGACGGCGACTGACCCGAGAGATCCTTTGCAGTAAAAAAGCATGGTGGGCGGTGAAGGCGAAGCAGATGGAATGCTACGCCGAACGCCGCCAACACAAGGAATTCTTTGACTCTTTGAAGGCGGTGTGTAGACCGAGGCTGGAGCCGTTGAGGACGCTGATCGATGGTAGTTCAGTCGCTGCTTACACACAGACTGCAGACATAATGCAGATCTGGCGGAAACACTTTGACTATCTCTTGAACAACCGTTATGAGATCGACTGGCCTACTTGGAATGGCCTGAAGCAGCACGATGTGAAGGCGAATCTGGCGGACTCGCCGACACTGGATGAGACGCACAGAGCACTTGCTCAGCTGCGAAACGGCAAGTGTGCCGGTGCGAACGGGATGCCGCCTGAAGTATTGAAACACGGCGGACGCGCGTTGGTGACTGCGCTCCACCACTTGCTACAACGCGTTTGGATTGAGGAGTGGGTGCATGCTGAGCTGAAGCATGCCCTTGTGCTACTACTGTACAAAGGCAAAGGTAGCAAGCAATGTTGCACGAATTATCTTGGTACTAATTTGTTTGATTGTGTGGGCAAGGTGATTGCCCGAATCCTGCTCAACCGCCTCGTCCATCAGATTGTGGAACCGAACGTGGCGAAAGAGCAGTGTGTATTCCGTTCCGGTCGCAGCACTATAGATATGGTGTTTGCGGCTCGTCAGTTGCTGGAGAAGTGCAGAGAACGACACTAGCCATTGTACTCGCTTTCTGTTGATTTCACCAAGGCATTTGATACGGTGAACTGCGAGGCGTTGTGGCTGTTGTTGGGTAAGTTTGGTTGCCCGCGTAAGTTTGTAAGTTTAATAGAATGTTTGCACAGTGGTATGCGGACGAGGGTGCAGCTGAGTGGAGAGACCTCGGATGACTTTGCAATTGTCTCTGGTATGAAGCAAGGCTGTGTCTTAGCTCTTGCCCTGTTTAATATCTATCTTCATGCAATGTTGTCCTGTGATTTTGATGCCGCTTGTGCTTACGGTGTTCGTGTGGAGCACCGTATTGATGGTGGGTTGCTGAACATCCGTCGTTTCGGTGCAAGAACTCTAGTCTGTGAGACAACTATCCGTATGTTGCTGTTTGCTGACGACTGCGCATTGTTTTCACACAGCGGGGAGTAGTTGCAGCATATGACTAGTGCTCTGTCTTCGACTGCGGCCAAACTCGGACTCACCAACAACACAAGCAAAACTGTCTGTCCCTTTAAGCCTTCACCGGAGGTGAAATCTTCAATATTGCCGCGAATCAGCATTGGTGCTGAAGTATTGGAAACCACCTCCCGCTTCAGCTACCTTGGGAGTGTGATGTCGACTGACCAGCAGCTACACATTGAGCTGCGTATTCGCGTGTCGACGGCATTCGGGAAGCTAGAGTACCTAGTGTGGAACAACCATCAGCTTATCATTGACACGAAGTTGATGGTGTACTAATGCATGGTACTGTCCATTCTTTTATAAGGCAGTGAAACGTGGACGATGTACTGGCGGGATGTGCGATATCTCAATCGGTTCCATCAGCAGTGTTTGCGACGGATTTTATGCATCGGTTGGAGCGACAGAGTTGCGGACACGGAAGTGTTGCGACAAAGTGGGTTGTATGCAATGGACTGCATACTTTTGCTGAGACACCTGAGGTATCTCCGTCATGTGAGCCGTATGGATTCGACGCGGATACCGAAACAACTCTTATATGGTCAGCTGAGTATTGGGAAGCGGCACGTGGGGAAACCAAAGTTACGTTACCAGGACATGATTAAAGTGAGCCTCTCACGTTCTAATCTTGATTGCAGATCATGGGAATCGAAGGCGATTGATCGTGGTGCATGGCGCGATCTGATCACGAAGGCAGTTGCCTAAGTGCGGGAGAATAACCTCATACATGCAGAGAAGAAGCGGCAAGTGCGCAAGCGGCAAGCAACGATGGGTTGTACTCCATCGACATCAAGCGCATGGTGCTGTAGAACATGCGGTCGCGAGTGTCTGAGTCAGGTAGGCCTAGTGAGCCATGAGCGAGGCCATTCGAGACCACCACCGAAGCGACTACGGGTCCTGCAGAGAACGTTGGCAGAACCGACGCAGCGTTTGTTGCTATGCTGCATTCAGTTTATTAACCGCGTGCTTGCATGCTAAGTCTCTTTATTTAAAGTGGTAAGTTTTCAATTTTGTCCTAATGCTTTTCTTTCTCAAATAAATGTCTACCTGTACTCTCTTCTATAAAGTTGCACAAGTCGCTTAAGCGAATTGTAGTTAATTTCGAAAACATTTTCGTGTTTGCAGCATCTTCGTAAAATATACTTTCTGACCTCGTGAACTTATCTCGTATCCTTTGTAGACAACCTACTTCATATGCTCATTAATTTAAGATTTTTGTCACGTTTTGTTATACATTACTCGATTTATTTTCTTTGTTAGCTTTCTCTCAAGTGATTGGCTGTTGTTTGATATTCCCGGTGTGGCTGCGCTTTATGTGCATGTTGACAAGGTGCCTACCTGTCTATTACCTACTACCTGGTCCTTACTGGCTCTAGGAGACAGTTGGTCGTTGCTGCAGGGGACGGGGTGCACGGTCCTTGTGGCCGTGTTAGGCTCGAAGAGTGATTCCATGCACTCAATGTGAAGCGGACTACAGTCCAGCCACCGCCTTGTGTGCGCTTGATTCCCAAATACAGCGTGCTCGTGTTTGCCTGTGAAGGAGTGTGGGCCGGCTCCGTGGATGAAACGTGGCTCCCATCCACATGCTTCCCGGTCTTCTTCCTTCGGGTTTACACTGGAGATGGGGTGTGTGGTTGGAGCTGTGGGTGGTGCAGCGCAAGCCATCCATGGTCCCTCTGTAGGCGCAGGCGTCCTGTGGCTGGTCACAGTGACAGGCAAATCCGAAACCGGATGCCGCCAACCATGTATATATATATATATATATATATATATATATATATATATATATATATATATATATGCACTTCTCCGCTTATGCTGTTACTGGCATGTCTGATATCATCTAGAATGTTAATTTTTTACATCCTTGTTTACCAGCAAGTATTGACGGCGTGCGACTGCGGTCACTTTTTTCCCTCAGTTTGATGCTTATTCTCATGCCTCAAGTCATTTTGTTTGGAACGAAAGATGTTTGCCGCATGATGCAAGGTATTTCCGAAAGCATAATTGCACACCATCCTGCTTTGCGGCTCTAGCTACGCACTCATCAATCGCGTTGATTAGTCTCTAAAGCAGTTCATCTGATTTTCGAAGAGTAGGATTGAGTGCAATGGGATGCTCTCGCGGAAGCATTGTAGTTCACTTGGAAAGCCGTTAACCACGTCCACAGAATTAATTCACGATTGTTAGGTGGTCACAACGGATGAACGCCGATACAAACTTTAACCCGTTTTCTGCTGGCGTCTTTTTAAGGACACTTTTGAAATTTGATTTAGCCGTGGAATCGGTTAACTTTCCTTAAACAAAATCCTTTCAAAATAACAAATTTAACGTTTTAAAGTTGTACTGTAAGATTATACTATTTATTATTGCTTTATATTATTATGTTAATTTTATTCAATGCCTTAAATCATATTTTTAAGTAGAGGCCTTAGGAACGCCGTTAAATCGCGAATCGTGCTGCAGCCGGCCACGCGGAAATCAGACCAAATCAAATCGTCGTCTACGTCACAGCTTGCTACGGTAGCTATGGCAACTAACTTATTCCGTTCGTCATCATGGCACGGGTTGCTGCGGCGCAGGTGTGAGCGGGGCTGCTGCGAAATACTGGAGACCTCGAGCACGTGTGAACTTGAGTAGACAGGTAAACGTCAATCGACCAAGCAGCGTGCCGTCAGATTGGAAGATGGTGAGAAAGTGTGACCTATACATATAATCATTACCTTGCCCATAACAGCTTTTGTCTTCTGTTCTCCTATACTGGGTTGCACACAGCATCACCCAGAGAGCAGACGCGGGGCAGCGTAATAGCAGTGATGAATTAGTGAACTAAGCTGTCTATGTGCAGGTGCCAACAACTATCTTAATAGAGAGGTAAGCGGAGCCAATGTCCAGATACGAGGTCGCACACAGGCTTACCGCTTAGCACAGCTGCCTGCTGCATACGAAGGTCACCAGCACGAGCGTGGAACAACTTTTGACTGTTTTGCCAAAGTTGGGAATCGGGTGCAAACTGAATGGCCAGCAAATACAAGCCCGAGTCAACGGAGGCGAATCATTCTGTCAAATATGGAAAATCCGTGGGACGGAATTAACCCACATTGGCTGGGAGCCAAACGCTTCCAACATTAGTATGTTTCGTTCACCAATAAATAGAACTGACATATCGTGTAGAATAGACTACCTATTTACCGAGCTTTGGCCTTCTATATCCGGTCGGTTGGTTGAGTGCGTGACTGAGCAATCAGGCGGTCGTAGTCTCGCAGGCGCAGAATAGCAGCAGTGCAGCAGTACGAAGGCAACTTTACAACATACCTCCCCACTTCTGTTCCACTTGACAGGTGTGAACGTATATTTTCAGAATGCCCACCCTCTTGTTTTCGCACCATGGGCAAATGGGACACTTTTAGTGTTCATTTCTGTCACATGTAAATGCTGTGCGACTAGCGTGATGTTGCAGCGCTGAACACCAGCTTGTTTTCCCCACTGAATTCACAGGCCTACTTTACTATCTATCACAAATTGAAGGATCCCAATGATCTCACCACGCTCACTTTGCTTTTACTTTGGTACACTTCCCTTTAGGCCATAAGTTTCCAAACCAAAATTATTTCCTAATTTCTTATCGTTCACAGCTGTCACTCAGCTTTATGTACACCTCTTTCACTGTGTTCGTGTCACTTTATGCGTACGTTATATTGGATGCACTTGTAAATTCTCTCTCCTGATTGGCTGTCCCGCCAAACTATGTTCCTCATATTCCCTACAGGGTCACACAAACAGACTACGCTACTACGCTGGATGTTTCTTCGGACCAATTTCCAGCTTTCCATTTTTCTCCTGTGAGAAGTTACACTTCCAAAGTTTCTACGAGACCACTGTGATGCGAACATACTTGTTTGTAGCCCTTGTGATTATAATCATCCACAGTTTTGCCCTCATAGTCTCTCCCTATCGTTCTTGATATCCATCTACGTTTGTCATTCGATCGGATTCTACAGATCGAGTTTCCCCATTATCACTTTCTGTCACCTTTGCCGATCCGCATAACTGTACACTATTTTTTCTATAAATTTAGCCTCCCATCCTCACGCTGTTTGGACGGCGGGGGATTTCGTCTTTTCAAGTGTCACCGACGCTCCGCATCCTTTCGGTATGATGAACCAGTAGGATAATGCCACTGCTTCCACAGATAAGCTGCATCTCCAAGACGTTGGTTGCCAGATAGGATAGCTTGAGAACTCAGAGATGCAGCAAACCTAGTTACTAGCTGGTGCAGCGGATTGGTTATACCCATTAGGATTCATTAAGTCATGCATTTGGACATATCTTACAATCTTTCCAAGTCGTCAGTGGTTGGAACTCAAAGGTATTCGGACTTTTAGTCATTAAGTTTAGGGATGTAGGTTGAGTAGTTCCCATCCTCTGAAAAATAGTCCATGTTGTGAGGCGTTAGTTGAGCGCCTTAGTCTGTTCTTCGCGGCGAGACTGAATTTGTGATCGCCGTGTGGTCCACTGAGATACGACGCTGCGTGACTCTCTACTGACCCCTTTAACCATTTTACCCCAAGGGTCAGTTTCTGGAGATCACCTGAACTAAGACTTATTCTTCCCTTCACAGGGAGTTGTTGCGGTGTCGCTAGTATTGAAGTAGACCAATTTTCGTTCACTTCAATTAACGTCGACCACATAATCTTTAACGCTTCTTTTTATGGCTAAATTCAACGAGTACCTGTGATTATCTACTGTCTGCTTCAAGTTATACGGCTCACATCAAGTTGTTGCAGACATGTTAAAACACACATACTTTCGACTGGGATTAAGAGAGTAGCGATCAATTACGTCGGGACATGTGGGTTCAGTCGTGTGTATATTTTCAAGCTGTTATCCGCTCCGGTTATTGATTTTTGGGAGTACAGTTACCCTTCTAAGCTAAAGTTGTTCACAGCTTTTCGATTCAGGCTATTGACTCAACCATTTCTGATTGCGCTCCTCAAAACCCTTCGTTTACTCTACTGCCTTAAAAGCGATGTCCCTCACAGGACTCCCTGTAGATTGGGGAACGGATGTTCGCTCGAACATTGCCACGATACTAAGCGAAATGAGAGAGCATGACTGTAGTTAGTGACTAAGCCACTTGCTCCCGACCCGGTCGATCAGCTTCGTGATAAATTTTCGCAGAGTGTGGGTTGGGTACCGGCAAACTTTCGCGGCGGCTGTGAATGCACCAGCACACAATGGGGAAATACACGATTATGATGAAAGGGGGTTGTACCACAGGTGCGACAAAGCAGGGAACGACATTTTTCCGTTTGAGGGGATTATTGCCGAACCAGATATTAGGAGTCGAATCCAATTGCCGACTCTGAAAACTGTCCATCCCCGTCACTAGACTCAGTGACAACTTCCTGATTCGGAGCTTTATCCCCAGTTTTCCCAATTGGTATATGATCTGGTCCATTCGTTGCCCTCTCGATCTGAGGGGATCTTGCCTATCGAGGAGGCACCGTGACCATAGATGCACCATTTGGCCGTAGCGATCACGGAATCTTGCTTTTCGTTACATCTGTTAATCGGAGTACATCAGTGAGAACAACGTGGAAACCTGTCGTTACAAATTACGATATTCTGTCTGACATCATTTAAGAAGAAAAACTCCAACACCAACAGAACTTGGCGGCGTAATTCATTACAAATCCAAAGTAGCTGTATAGACACGTCAACATACTCCGCGGGATGCTAGTTTTACGTGCAAAAGATGGTCTGGCGCAAACTACACAACATGCGACCAACATGTTTCGCCACCACTTCATCCACACTTTCCAAAGCGAATCATCACGTCACCCGCTTTTGACACACCTCCAATCGCCACCAGAGTTAAACCGCGTAGCCTTCACAACAGTCAATGTGATGTACAGTCTAATGTCTTTGCGCGTGCACAGATCACCTGTCGTTGACGTCACAAACGGAAGGCATTGAAGACAGCGGCTATGAACCTTACCGAAGCATTAGTTCGGTTCTTTCAAGGTTGTCTCGACGAAATGCAGTTTCTCACAATGTGGAAACATGGACTAGTCACCTCCAATTACAAAAGTGGTAACTGCGGATCTCTCGACTTACCGTCCAATTACTCTTCCTCCAGTTTTATCCAAAGTTATGGAAGGTATAATCGCACGGGTTCTCATGGGATACCTTGAGACCAACAACATGCTAGTGTCACAGCAACACGGATTCCGCCGAAATGATCCTGCTCTACGAACTTACTGCTAGTCCGAGCAAGCTGGACACAGTCACCTGATGCTAGACTGTGAGTCGACATCGTCTAGCTGGACTTCTCGACAGCGTTTGATCGTTTGGACTTCCGCGTTTTCTTGCACAATCCTCGAAGCTATGGAATCGGTGATCCTGTACTCGGTTGGATCGACAAATTCCTCTTGCAGCGTCAGCTGAATGTGAGGGTCCGCAGCTCAATTTCCGATCCAATTGACGTCCAGTGTGGTGTACCCCAAGGATCGGTACTGGAGCGCGTTTATTCCTACTATTCTTTAACCATCTTGCTAGTGAACTTCAGTCAAAATTATTAATTAATTTATTATTATTTGACCCGTCATTCTTGGCTAAATGATCAGTTTTCTTGTTTGGTTAAATAAGTGATTTATTCTCGACGATAGAAGACGCCTTAAAATACATGATCCTGGTACTACAACGCGTAACATCAGCAATGACACAGAAATGTTACGATTTAATCAGTACATACTGGATATATGTGTGTATGTGCGTGTGGTACGCATCTGGGTTCATGCGTAGGTTGTCATGTTGAATGAATTTGTTACTAGTACTGTTAATTTGTGAGTTTGTTTGGCGAATTCGCCAATCTACGAATGGATCAGATGCAGTCTTTATAGTGGTTGACGTTCGCGAAATGAGTTTGATTCTCCGGTATGGCAACAGGCAATGACTATTTAGTGGCGATTCATGTCCGCCACGTCACAGTGTTGTTGAGAAGACATATATGGCTATGTATAGGGAGAACGTTTGCCATGCCAAAACCCACCACGTCCTGGGACACTTCCGCCGAACTATTAGCTGGAGCGGGATTAATCGGAACCCCCCAGCTGGCACCACGTGAAGGTTCTTCGGCTAGCCAGCCTAATGTTATAGTCGGCACCCAGGTGAGCGCAATGAACGTATTTCGGCATTTCTCCTCGGAGCGATGACGGGATCGGAATATGGCTTCCCTGAACAGCAAACCATCGTAGACAGAGAGTTCATCCCGAAAATTGAACTGTAGTGCTAGTTTCTTCGGCAGCTGCTTCTTGGTCTCTCTCCACCCATTTAGAATAACGTCTCGTAACTGCATACTTCACTTGTTCGGTAAACTTAAAGGAGCTCAAGTAATGCAGCCGGACCACAAAGTGTGAAACAGGTGGACAGCGTTCTACGGTCTATCATATGTGCGTTTATTGAACAATGAACAATGATTTATCACGGGATAAAAGCAACTGCTTGACACATCCCGTAGGTTGGTTGGGGTGAATATGATAATCAAAATATATCTGAGTCATCTACCGAACGTCTGTCTAGATGAATACTTTTGATAGATTACATCAGTGTAAATTTTAAAAAAATCGAGCGTAAACGTACGGAAAGGCATTGGGTGCAGTGTTCGTTAAGGCGCGAGGAAAGTCAAATATGGTCGCTCACTTAGGTCCATTTGGTACATAAATCCTGTTGAAAAGCATGCTTGGCTTAATCCACAATAGAGGAGTTTAGGTAACAAAATG